AACAACCCAGAAGACAGAAATCTTCATACTCACTGCTGTGAAAACCTCAAGTCTTACATGATAGATGTTTACCGACGTTTTATCGCCATGATGATGGAAGCAGCAAGGACCTCTGAAACGTCGGTAAACATTTATCAGATTATACGGCGTAACAACCCAGAAGACAGAAATCTTTGGACTCACCGTCGTTGAAACCTCAAATCTAACAATTTATAATATCTTCAAAATAAACAAATAAACGTAACAAAAATTAAATGTAACATATTTACAGTTGAAAGCAATAGAAATTTTAAGCGAAATATTTTCTTTTGTCTTGCAAAGACGTAAGCACAAATCCAGAAAGTTGAATATTGACGTTAATTGCATTTTATTATGGGATTATGAACTTGAATGACCTAAGTACGAGGTGCGATCGGAAAGTTTCCAGACTGCGCGTATAAAAACCCGTACACTTATCTCAGGTATTAAGGGAAGGAGATTTGAGACGATAGAAGAGATTCAGGCAGAATCGTGCCTTCTTCCTCTTCCCAAAGATGACAATTCAGCTAAAGGGAAGGAGATTTGAGACGATAGAAGAGATTGAGGCAGAATCGCAGATGGTGCTTGACAGGCTGGCAAAGAAAGATTTCCAGGGATGCTTCCATTGCTTGGCAGCGGCGCTGGGATCGTTGTGTTCACTCCCAGGGGAACTACTTCGAGGGTGATGGATGAATTTAATACCTGAGATAAGTGTACGGGTTTTTATAGGCGCAGTCTGGAAACTTTCCGATCGCACCTCGTATTTCACAAGAACAACACAAGATACTAAGACTGTAAGTAAGCTACATTAATTTTGTGACGGGTTGACCGGAATAGCTTGATATTATGTTTGGTTGCTTTCAACACATGAGCTTCTAGTCAATTACATGCAGCGTATTAAATAACTTCAAAAATAGAAGTCATCTGTTTATATTAAACTTGTAGCTCTGCAGTAGAATTTGGAGTTTGTAACCCAAAAACATTCTGCCGGTACGTTTGCTTTGCAAATTGTTTACTGATGTGTAGTCTTGTGTCCTACTGGGATCTCACGCAGTCTGACTAACTTTGAGACACAAATAGTTAGCTTAAACATCGAATTTGCAACTATCTCCAGTCCCTGACTAAATATTGACATTGTCTGAGGGTATCTCGTACCAAACGCGACAGGAAATTTGAGAAGCTGGTATAAAACACGTTTCCTACTCTTTGAGTGGATGTTTCGTGTTGGCTGATTCCGTTACAGCTAGCAAGGGCTGTGTGACCCTCAAGATGGTCTCTGGGGTTCTAACCTTCACAGTTAAGACTGTTTGTAGCTGCATAAATACTAATTTGCTCTCTGTTTTTATAAGATAGTGTAATTGCGTCATATTGTAAATATTATATCAATTATTTATTTTTAATCCGTCTGATCACAATATAATTTTATTTAAAATTTCTTATAATTAAGAAATAAAATATCATTCATGTTCCTTATCGATTGATCGATTTACATTTCGGAACATTTACACAACATGTTTCAGTTTTTATAAAACCATCATCAGGTGTAAAATATATCTAAGAGCTTAAAACTCAATTATGATTTCTGTAGTTTTTTGGTGATATTTCATTACATTTGTTTTTCCATATTTGGGCGAAGGTGTTGTTTTTCTTAAATGTTATTAGATGTACATATCGGCCAAAGATATTTTGCGTTAGAATAGGCCTGTGTTTATTAAATTCGATCTTAAAGTAATTCTTATAATGTTATCACGCTAGGTGGAAGTTATGATGTAGTTTATTAATATTTCTGGTAATTGACAAATGATTCTTCAGAATTAATTATGCTGGAAGCAGTAATTTGTTTATTAAATAAAAAAGCATAGCTGTAAATATCTTATATGCATAAAACTTATTTAAGTTATTCAAGACTTTGTTTATGACACATTTCAAAGCAAAAATAGATGAATTGCAGAAAAACTAAAACATTCTCTTATTTTAGCCATTAGTGAATTGTAAAATATCGTAGTTATAAATGTTTGCCGAAACAAATTTTGCTAAATACCTCATGTAATTTAATTAAACTAAAAGGTTTATTGGGTATTTTAAATTCAATTAAAATATTATATAGTATTTCTCATTTAACCATAGGATTTCTTAAAATCCACAAACAGCTGGGGTTATATAACTGTTTCATTAAATTTCGATTTCGAAAGAAAAATATAATTTCAAAATGTTGACATATTACGACTAAATTCGCATCGATTATCACCAGTTATTTTATATACGCGTATTAATATTTAAAAAGTGTATTTAGAAACACCGCCAAATTATATTCTTCATTCCTTTGAAGTATTGTACATACCTCATATAGTGTCACATTATATTAAAGTTCTCCGATTATTAGTAACGTATTGACTAGCATATCGGAATCTGCTTACATATTATCAGAATACCAATTCTGTTTTATCATCAGCTCATAAACAACATTTTACATCACAGAGCAGTCAATAAATACTGAAACGCTATCAGATATATGTATAGTCACACACCACGTAAATCCACTTATAATGTGTTTCCTGATATAAATCTCTTTTATTTTAATGACATTTTCCAGATTTATTTCAAAAATTTCCTTATTTTTCGATTAAAGTACTTGAAAATTAAAACTGACGTAGAATATAAATAAATTATTTTATAGCTTAAATTTCTCATACTAAATTACTTCATTCCAAATTTTATCATATGTAAATATTATCTTTATAACTTTTTCCTCAAGCATGTTATGTTATTCGGTCTCTCACATAAAAAAATTTACATTACCAATTGCATATAAAGAGCTTTGCCAGAACTGTCCTGCACGGCGTAATGTACAGCCCTGATAAATTACAGATAAAGACGTTAGGTGATATTTATTGCTTATACAGTTAATCTGGTACTCAACAGAAGACGGCTTTTTCGTGATTGTTTCTAGGCACGACCGTCCGTTTGTAAGAACGAGACAATCATTTTATCCTCTCTGCCTTTTCCAAAAAATCGGTGAATTTCCTGCTTACTAGAAGCTCCACGTGGTAAAGACTGAGTCACGGAAGATGAACTCTCTCTCTAATTACATTAGACTCAACGACAATAAAAAATGTTTAAATTTTTCCACGGAATTAGAAAGTATGTTGCTACAAATACGTATTGCCATAATAGTTCTTATAGTGACGTCAATGTTTGAGATTCCGGCTGGACGATCGGTGTTCGATTCCCGACGGGGGCAGAGGATTTGATTAAATTTTAGTGTGACGTCATGTGTAAATATTCCAGAATCACTGGTATAGCCAACTTGAGGACTGAAACGAACGTTTGAGGGTGTGTATTGCCTCATGAATGAGTGGTTCTTTGTTTGTATTGATCTGATGATGACGTAGGTCCCCCCAGATCTTGATAGCAAACGTTTCTAGCTACACGGAAGTCATAGGTCTTTTGAAGGACACTCAATGTCAAAAATTACAAACCTAACCTTGTTGGTTTTCAGTTTTAGTACAACAAATAAATTACAGCTGACAAAACTGAGACAAATTTATATCTGTTACAGAGCAGATAATATTAAGTGAATCTATTAGAAACAGGACGCTGGCCTTGTAATCCTGGGGTCTCGGGTTCGATTCCCGGCGGTGCCCGAATTTATAACTTTTGTTGGGCAAGGCCGTGGTCTAGGCAACACGGAGTTTTCCTCCGTGGCATCCCAACAATTACTCCATTCACACACAGAAGAAGGCAATGGCAAACCACTTCTGGATCATCTGCCAAGAACGTATATGAACAGGTCCCAGTCCCAGTCCGAGAAAAGCTCAGCAATCGATCCTTGGTTACACATCAAAAATTAAAAGCCAAATATCATAAATATATCAAATTTCCTCGGTGTTATCCGCCAGCGTTGCAATATTTGATGCCTTGCGAATTTTGAGCTGTCTTTACTCGCCTGGGCTCCAATGGTGTATGATGTTTTGACTCTAAAACATAAAATTTGGTGACGGTTAGTAATGTTTACGAACAGAATAATTCGTCTGTATTATCACAGATAAAACCTCAAAATATATTCCTTATAGCCTTAATTTGACATAAAAATATTTCTTATAATTTTTTTCCACTGACTGTACTTATTGGTTTTGTATAAATCACAGAATAAATATCGATTAGTTATGTAAACATTATTAATGAATCAGTTTTTATAATTGTGATCTGAATTTTTAAGTTTTATGCTCAATGGTGGTAGGTTTGGCTAGCATTCAAAATGGAGACGAAGTCATATCTTCGAAGAGAACAGATTATAATTTATGAAAGTAATGAAATAATGAGTTGCCAATATTTGTTTGAGTGTGGTCTTTCGGTTAGGACAGCACATCATCTAAAATATCTCTGAAAAGGCTTCGAAATAATCTGCTACCTCAATCATCCGTGTAAAAACACCTGACCGGTAATTACCTACAAAGAAATAGGGCATCATACCTGAAAACATAATCTAAAATTTTACCATAATTAAAACCTTAGAAGTCGTAATAATTTTTGTGGCTGCACGTGGCTTGAAACTAGCTAAAATATTCTGCCAAGGGGATATTAAACCATTTTGAAAAAACATGGTCAAAGCTTCCTTTTTGTTTAGGCACACAGTCGCAGGCGTCTGTAAAATTATTGAATTCCAACTAACATTTTTCATTACTGCGTGAAATTCTGGTTATGTGTCCAATTAAATCATGAACAGATGGACAAACGACGAGAGAGGAAAAAATGTTATTTTTAACCCCCGGGACTCGCTCTTCGAATTTCACCTCTATTCACGGAATCGTTTTCCACATTCCCCTCGTGTTTCTCTCAGCCGCTCCCCCCCCCCCCAGGAAGAACCCTGCATGTTTTCAAATTCCTTATTATAGCATTTCATTATACAGTGCGTCCACTGATAAAGTTGGACGCAATTGTCACTTCCCGCATCGCAGATCGAGACCTAACGTGTTACGAAATATTACTGATATTCGGGGTCATATTTTAAAATATTTGAAATTTAAAAATTACTTTTGAATATGTTTGAAATTACGGTTTAGTGCGAAATATCGCGATAAACTGAATTTAATTCATCGATTCCTCTTTCGAAGCTTTAAGTTTAATCGTCCGGTCTTTAAATAGTAGCGTCTGTATTTGTAAACAGCGAAGGAAGTTATTATAATTGTTACAAAAATATAATACCAATTCATGAATAAACACCATAGCCTTCTATAAAAAAATATATTTTTTATCGATTCCAAGTATTCTACTTCACTTCTGTGTCTCTAATCGGTTCTTTTTAATAATTCAGGGCTTAATTTATTTTTCTGTGTCTTCTTTGCTAATTATCGTTGCAAAACAATAACTTCAGTAGTAAAAATATAAACATAATTTCAGAAATGTACTGTACGCCCTAATAACTTCCCTTGTTTTTTTTTTTCCAGGAAATGGAATTGGATTTTGTTCTGGACCTACATGCACACTCAAGTCTGCAGGGAGTCTTTGTATATGGAAATACTTACGATGACGTATACAGGTGAGAAATTAATCTTCTACATTAAAAACTTTAATATAATAACAAATATTCTCCTGAATTTTTTATTCTGAGAATATTTTTATGTTGGTCTTGTGAGTTTTAACGTAATGTGAAATTGTTAGTGGTCCTCCGAAACGTCCGTATCTACAAATCCACACGACATTACAACGCAAAAGATTATGATCGATATACTCATCGCCATGTGTCAGATCTAATATAATCGATTTATATATCTCGTTCAGAGTCGAATTTTCATTAGATTGTCAGTCGACGTTCTGTATCTTGTGTAAAGAAGTTATATTGAGTTTGAAGCCGCTCATTGTCTGATCAATCCATTGTCCTGCCCACCTGTGGCCGATAGATTTATTGTCGGAGACCTCCACCCTGCCCTGCCCTCTCGTTGGTGGAGTCACAGACTTCTGTCTTCCTAGCGCCTTGTTCCATGGCGTCCTTTATCAACAACAGGACTTGTAGGTCCATTCTGTCAGTCTGTAATACTGCCAGGTGGTTCCTATGTTATTAATTACATCCCCTCAAACTCCCCTATTCTCCTGCACACACGTACAAACTCTGATGCTTTGCTTGTTCAGTACCAAGAGATTGTTTGCGGTGGCTTTATTCTGCCTTTTTTGAATTTAACAATTTATTTTTTTGTGTTTATATAATCTGTAACACTTTATTTCCAAATTATTTTAATATTGATCCTTACGTTGTCATTATCCGATAATCGACTGAACTGATAGTAAGTCCACGGGCGAGGTTGCGAAGCAGAACGGAGCTATCATCCGTGTGCTAGATTTTCAGCGCGGCTAACCGGTTAAACGTAGAGAGCGCGGCGGGCGGTAGATTGAGAAGCAGGTCACTAGAACAGAGCGTATCGGAGCTGCAGTCCACGCAACTGGCTTATAGTAAACAGCCCGGAACCACGTGTTTTAGACTGATTTCTGTATCGAAAACTGTTTCGTGGTTATTGTTAATGACGTTAATTCTGTGTGCTGACTATTTTTTGTTCTGATAATGATAATGAGCAAAGGGAGTGTATCATAGTTATTGAAAATTATTTTTTCTAAATTGAAAAAAGTGATTTAAAAAATCATGGCAGCTCTCTTCCGGGCTTACAAATAGTTAAATCATCGTTGATGAAGTATGGATTTTCTCGTGATGTAAATTTACTTTTCATTTATTTATGTTGTTATGTTTTGAAATGCTATTGTGATTTTCCCCCCTTACGCAGTACCGCCACTGCTCAGACCCATAATCCGCCACTGTATTTTTGTCGTAACATTTTCTGTTAGTTGAAAGTAGAGTTTTTAAGAAAGTGGTTTATCGTAAACCTAGCGTTTTCTTCTGTTTTTACTGTTGTGGTACACGTAAATATTCTGCTGGTTTCAGATACAACATTTATATTAAATGAGATATTAAGAAATATATAAATACTCGTTAAAAATATTTATCGGTACTTTTTTTTAAATATTCTGGGTACTTACTTGTGGTTCATAGTCCAGTCTTTCCGAACATGAAAACTCGCAACATACTTCATGCATCTAGTGATTATTCTTTCCTCGGTGGATCGTAAGAAAGAATTTGTTGTGATAGGCCACAGGTAACACTTTAGAACTTTGTAACACACATTGCATACATTTAGGGGTCGCAGTGGTGTAAGAAGGGAACTCTACTTGCAAGAAATTTCCATAAACTTTTTAAAGACATGAAGCATATCATTCAACAATCTTTTGTAGAACATTTCCCCGAAACTGACTTTTAATAAGTTGACAACAAAATAAAGAAATAGGAAGGCGGGTAAATTTACTACAGAAATTGTAAGGTCGTTTCAATCGGAAGTTACTTTTCTCAACGATCAATCAATGAAAATTATGGAACTCGTTTGACCTCGTTACAGAGACCCGGGTTTAATTTTTATTAATGGCATTGCATTTGGTAAAAGAAACGATAGTTCATGCATAGTAAATGTAATTTCTTCATTCAAGCAATATTTACGTTTCTGTATTATTCTTTAAAATAATTTATTTTATGTTTAATTAACTTGCATTCGACTTGCATAGGCCTAGTGTCATTTATTTTACGTTTTGTATGGAATAATTTAAACAATACGCCTAAAGCCACCAAACGTTATCTGTGTCAATTTTTATAATTGACGTTTTTGAATATTATTTGAAACCTATGTATTTTAAGTTACATGACTAATTGAAATCACTACGATATATTTTAAATATTTAGACTTTTGCGATGATTCGCTCTGTGTTGTGCGTACGACGTTAAATTATTGAAGTCTGAATATTCCAAACGTGATTTTTTTTATCAAAAATAAACCAGGTTTGTTTACATTTTTTAATTGTTTAAATCTTACTACGCATTCCTAAAATTTACGAAAGGCAATGTTGAATCATCCTGTATACATATTTTATTGTTTATCGACACTGCGACAGAAATCTTTCTACAGGAAATTTATCAAAAGTTCCGTTACCGTAGCCCATCGACGTCTGTACACTTGGAACGAGAGTAACACGCCTTCTATCCATTTATTTACCAGCTTCGCTGTCACTGCTGTTACTAACAGAAACGCTGAACAGCCGAGTGTGGTGTCACTGCTTTTATGTTACCATTCCCAAGATTTATTTCGACAATTTTAGCTTCCAAGTCGTATTTTACGTACATTACTGATGCAGTGTTTCTATTCCATGACTGTGTAAGGACCTTTGGAGGGGGTTGCGAGTACACTATATGGTTTGGAATTGTTTGCGCTCCATTTTACGCTACAGTTGGTAATTATGTAACACGTGACTTAATTACGCGCTACGTGTCATTTATTATTTATATAATTATAAAGAATGACTGAATTTCGAAGTATATAGACGAAATTATCGGTGAATTAATTTAACCCTTTAAGGATCATATATATAACTTTCTGAAATCATCTGTAAACCTATATTTTTCACAATTATTTTATTTATAGTTTGTTTATATTTTAAGAATAAACAGCAAATATTTTAATATCATATGTTTTTATGAACCTTATACATACTTACCTTCGTTATGGGACAAATGGGTGTTTCTGAGCGATGTTTTGTAGGGTAGATGGCATTGTGCGTCTCTTAGGATTCCATCGACCCACGAAGAGGTGTTCAGCCAACGTGGGATGCATTATCCTGTTTTTGGTCATCATATAAAGTCCCTCTAAATCACACGTCGTCCTCCTGGAAACAGTCCAACATCTAAAGTCAGCAAGAATGTATTTCGTAATTATGGTCGATAGTGAAATCGATGGTTTCCCTTCTCCAACATTCTTTCTCCATTATTTGACAAACACATATCAATTTAGAGTGTTCAGATTTTTCCGTAATAAAATAGACAACCTCTGATTACGTGTAGTAGCTATAAGACGTCATAGGATAGGATGATATTATTAAAATGTCGAAAGAACATGGTCGGATGGTGTTGACTCAAAATAGGGTCCATTGGTAGGTTTTTTTAACACGATAATAATCATCGGGTTACATAAAATTCGGAAAATGTTTCGACAGATTGGGTAACCATTAGTTTCTCAAGAAAGGTTTCAATATACTGGATAGTTTAAATGAACTTTCTACATTTTAGAATACAAAAACTCATAATTTACTACACTGTCTTCAATACTCTCAGACTAACGGTGATAAAATGACTCCACTGACTTCAATATTTATATCAAGAAAGAATTTTAGGTTAGTTATGTCTATGCGATGTGAATATTTTATAGTCTACTTACACGTCATCAGTTTTCAACTTCGCAGAGAGGTTTTTGCCTTGAATTTATATTTTTATTAATCCGTAGTTCGTAGCAGCAGGGAAGGGACGGGTAACACGTTTGCTATGGTGACCGTAAATCGAATACGCTGAGGTATATGACAGCACAACAAGCTTCAGAGCGAGTCTGGGTGTAATTACGTCATAAATTATGAATACAAGAACACGTTCGACGCGCATGCGTGTTAAGGGTTCAGATGTAAACAACAGGACTCACGAAGCGACAACAGACAAACGAGGACTTAAAATTGATATGAAGATAGTTTACGGATTGCATAATTATATTTATTTATCAGTATTTGTTTCTGATGTGTTATTGTGTTGCAAATACAAGTGTTTAACAACGTACTACACATAAACAGGCTGCTTTGGCTATGGTGTTTAGGTGCTTTATATATTTTGATTGATAAAATATTGACAAATTTGTCTGTTTTGTAGGTATGAAAGGCATATAGTGTTTCCCAAACTGCTGGCACAGAACGCAGAAGACTACAGTGTTGCCAACACCATGTACAATCGAGATTCGAGCAAAGCTGGAACAACAAGGAGGTAAGTTAATATATTTCTCAGTTTTTCAGCAAAGTATTTGCATGATAAGCAGTTATATTGTGTTCATGTACCGTTGTTTTATCAAGGATTTTGAAAATAAGATTGAAAATATGTATTCCGTACCGGAACGCGTGTGTTATTTGAAAATTTTGAATTCTTGAACATTACGTCAGTTTTATAACTTAGATGACTTAATTTGCAATTATACCAATTATGTGTTGTCTTACGCCTTCTTTAATCATTATACATCAAGATAGATGTATCGTACGTTAGATTAGGTTAGGATAGGTTGGGTTAGGTTAGGTTCGGTTAGGTTGAGTTAGGTTAGGTTAGGTTAGGTTAGGTTAGGTTGAGTTGGGTTAGATTAGGTCAGGTTAGGATAGGTTGGGTTAGGTTAGGTTCGGTTAGGTTGAGTTAGGTTAGGTTAGGTTAGGATAGGTTGGGTTAGGTTAGGTTTAGGTTAGGTTAAGTTAGATTACGTTTGGTTAGGTTAAGTGCGATTAGGTTGTTATAGGTAAGAAAGGTAAGGTTGGGTTAGGTTTGGTTTGGTTAGGTTGAGTTGGGTTAGGTTAGGTCAGGTTAGGATAGGTTGGGTTAGGTTAGGTTAGGTTAGGTTAGGTTAGGTTAGGTTAGGTTTATGATACTAAATCCGTGTTCATGCAGCCATAGCATCAAATTTTTGTAAAATCAAAGTTTTTTCCCCTCTTATGCGGCCGACATGTTGTTATTTTAAATTATGCAAAGAATTTCTTCATCAGTTTCGTATTTTTCGAAAGTCCAAACTGTCTTATTGTAGATAAGGAAATGGGTTTTGTAATTTTATTTATGCGAAAGGATACATTTGTTCACCCCTGGTGAAACAGCGATTGCCCAAGAGCTGAAGAGGTCACGTTCAGTTTAAATGACCTCTGTTCTATCCTGCCCTGGGAATCAAGGTGCAGTTTGTACATCAGCAATGATGCTCCATCCACACTACAGCGCTTGCTATGAGCCACTTTTGTAGATACAAAATCTAACCTTATAAATAGTAAAGCAGGTAACAGCCTTCTAAATTTCCACGTACTTGAAAATACCCGTAGTTTTAATAAAAATAATTGCGGGTTTAACTTTAAGATTTCAGAGAAAATAAAATTTATTTTAGGTTTATACTACAGCGTCTTTGAAGATGGCTGTCTTCTGTGTTTCTTGTATCGTGTAGTCTGTTAGAAGTTTACCGACGTTTCAGAGGTTCTTGCTGCATCATGTTATGGATTTTCTGCGGGATTCGTCACATTGCGTGTTAAAAATCTTCAGTTTCCTTCTCGTATATATGTTTAAGACTTCACAGTGTCTGCGATTAAACATCTATTAGATTACGCTACGCTGTCTTCCATAACATATTATTTAGGAACTATTTTTTAATAAATATACGCACTTGTTTATTTTTACATTATGTATTTTGGTCATTTTGACTATGTTAGCATGAAAAATTAATATTTTTTCTTAGGGTTACTTTTTTATTGGTACAACTTTTTCCGATGCACGTGTCAGATTTCTGTTTATGTATCCATGTTGTTTAATACTCTATTCGACTTTTCGTTTAACGTATAAGTCTGCATTTATGAATGTGTTTAAATTTCCGTACGAGCTTCTAACCACGAGTTGTTGAGGTTATGACGTTTCTAACCTAATTGTTCGGGACACGGCGCTCTGTTTAGGAACTGCGTTTCTCAGGGCTTTGTGCAGATTCTGGGCTCTTGCAGTAGCAGGAGGGAATATTCTTCTATTGACCCGGGAACCCCCTTCCAGCATCCTGGAGGGTCAGAATTGCTCGCTCGGTTCCACGCAGTCTGAGTCTGCAGCCTCCCTGCACACTTCTGGGTGTGCCCCAACATTCCTCAGTCTTATTGTCTGTCCTTGTCTCCCAGACTCTCTTTTCCTATCTCCTTCCCCTGTACCTTCCCCATCTAGTAGAGTTCTAAACAGTTAATGCCTTAGTATTATCCAGCTTGAATATATTTGCGACTATTCGTAGTTCTCAGCCAACAAATCTGAGGTTTATTGCAATTATTTTGAAATTACGAAGTAAAACTATGGTACTGATATTCTCAAAGAATGTGCTGGCTATGATTTAAAATTAGTTAAGTGTGCCTTAATATTTACTCGTGATCTTGTGACAGTGATAGACGAATGGTGTGGTGAGATCAAGGATCCCACATATGCATTCTTTCCAGTCTGCGTGTTGTACAGCCGAAACACGGTAATGAAAAGTAATTTTGAAAATTTTCCAAAAATTTCAAAAACGTCATAAATGCTCCAAGAAACAAAAAAATTTCAAATTCTTTTTAAACAAATTTAAGTTGAACTTTTTCAGATATTTTTCTGTGATATTTGAACTATTTGTAAAAAAAATTGCGTCTTTTAAAAATTTCGAAAAATTTTGAAATTTCGAATTTTTTTTAAATTTAACAATACCCTGTCTCTGAAGGACACAGTCTCTCTCTGTCACCCGAGACAGAGGTAACAAATGTTCAGCCCAGCCCATGGCCAGACGATTTTGTGGTCACCACAGCCCTTGGCTAGAAAGCTCGTGGCCGATCCAATCCATGTTCTTACTCAGTCACAATCTGGACATAGGCTAATCTGTCCAGGACTATATTCCCATTGCAGCAGGCAGGAACAGAAGCCTAAATGCGTCAGATGTTGTCGTTATACCACTGTAGGAATTAGGAATCGACGTCTTGAAACATCTATGAAAACCAGTCAGATTCGGAGTTATTTAATCTTTTGTAGTAGCTACACCAGAAAAATACAGGATCGCCCATTATGCCAGGCAGATATTGAGGCGTGTACACAGCAAGAATAAAATCATTTAACTAGGCATCGTACCAGAAAGGTATGGATTCGTCCCGAAGAGAAATTACACTAGACGTATTTGCCCCTAGAAATTCGGCATAGCAGTGACGGCCATCCATGAGTCTGTTATGGAAATGTCTTAGACATTAAACTGGTCAGGTGTTGAGGCGTCAAATGGCTATTAAACCAGTTATTGAACGCGTCTGTGCGACCATCGCAGGTGTTTACGTCTATGGAGGTGTCCATTTAGCCAACTAGGTACGGAGACCACAATCAGGCATAAGAGACAACTTGGAGGCCATTATGTAGCTATTATAAGTCAGCTGTTTAAACTTCTTTATAGCGATTATAATGTTAAACCGTGGAGTCCCATGTACGTCATTATAGCATTGGGATATGCACCGTAATAGTTACTTATTGAGGTATCTATTTTTGAGTTGTAGCATTCGGTTCTGGATGTTACAATGTAGGCATTAAACCACGTTAATCAGTTATAATTGTCGTGAATATATTGATGAAATGTTGCTATTTTAGGCGTCTTTTGGTATTTTAAAGTGGGGTACGCGTATACTTAAATACAATGTTTTGAAATGGTGGCGTGTGTACAACTATTATAATAAGTGGGCGTGAGGATGTTAATATTGTCATTAAAGTGTCTAATACTCATTATATTTGGCTGGTTCCACGACGTCTATGGGTTGGTATGGTGGCTTCTAAATAGTTTTTCTAATATGTACTTTAGGAGACTTTTATGTTTCCTTGTAGTTGCATATATATAACCGTTACGTACACTTTGCATTTAACAAGACGTCCACACAGATATTACGATGGATTCAACATCCTTCGTAGGTGAATATAAATTTGACTTCAAAGCTTCACGTTCAAAATGTTGATGTGTATTTAGTTATTGGATTATTTTCCATATATTTATGCAGTTTTCCCATGAGTCTATAATTTGCAATTTATGTTGCGGTCGAATGTTTAGATTCATGTTCCTGTTTACGAGGTTTCGTGTTCAAATTGTATTCTGGAGACCCTGTCGAGATTAGGATTTTTTATGGTTTTATCAGTTGGTTCAGAAACTGTATCCCGAGAAAGATTATATTTTTACATTCCTGTTGTTTTCACAGAACACTTAGGTCCTTTTATCACTTGGTACCTGTACAGCTCGTCATTTACAATTGCGCTATTAATTGGCATCAGACTTATTTCAATACACAGCCTTCTGGTAATTTAAATGGTATTGTCTTTCGATTAAGAATTCTTTTTTTTCAGTTCCCCTCTAAAGCAGTTAATTTAATTTGCAGCTGCGCAGAATAGCCTTAAACAAGCTTGGCAAATTTTATGCGTTACAGGACAGAGAGAAAAGATATTTCTGTGGTCTAAGAAGCTATCCTATTCTCCGCTCGTACCCCCTTGGGCAAACGCCAGCCATTCCATAGCGAGTGTGCTTGTGGGTGTGACAAGGAGAGGGGGGGTATGAAGGGTGAAGGGTGAAGGGTGACCAAAAACACGGGAACAGCGGGTTTTAAAAGATAAGGGAGGGGCAGTTTCGTAAGCACTTTATTTTGTAAACTTAAAATTCGTCCCTGAAATCCCATCGTATTATAGTGACCAGAATTTTCATAAATATTTCGTAATCCCTCACGGTTTAAATAATTCTGAGCGATATACACAAAATCTAAAACGTACTTAATTGGGAGTAATATTAAAATTATCATTCCAAATATGCCTACGTCTTTCAGATGTTAGAATTATTTTAAATAATTAAAATTGTATAAATATCTCCTAAGCGTGCTATACGGTGACATATTTATTAACTTTTTATCATTCTAATTATATTAGGAAACAATATATTCTTTTTATATAGTACTATCACTTTTTCTCCATGCACTGTCGGGCAAGGTCCCTGCATGCCCGAACATTGATTAGCCCAGTAACAGCAATACATGGTAACGGACATGCACGGTCCTCGCCCGGCTTCATTTCCACCAAGAAGTCTTGACCAGGCCCGGTGTACACCGGGACCGGCCAATGTCAGAGCAGGTCTCCGCCGGTCCAGAGGTCCGGCAACAGACTTACAATATTTAAAAACTTTGCGAAATATAGTGAATACATAACTTTTCAAAAACTAAGAAAATGTTATAAAAAACAAAAGGTTCCAA